CTCTGCAGGGCACTCCTGGGAGTGCCGGGGAAACCAGACTGGGTGGCTGGGGATGTGTGTGGGGACAACACATTTTACAGGAAAAGAAAACCAGTTTCATTTTAAACCTCAGAGGGAACATGCAGCCCAAATGCCCGTTGTCCAAAGGCCTATTTATGGGAACATGACAGTACCCACAACCAGGACTCCTTGCGGACCCTCCCTTTGGCACCAAGATGAGTTTACACTTGCCCTCCTCACTGGGTTTCCAGAAGCCTCTCAGTGGAGCAGCGCCCATGAGAAGCACCCACTTCCATCTGGGGACTCCAGGGTCTGCTGGGCCAGGCGTCCAGATCCTCTGAGCCTCCGCGTACCCTTCAGGGAAGTGGGGCGAGGGCTGCAGCAGGAGGAAGAGGCAGCGCATCAAGGGCCTGGACCAACGGAGGCCAGATACGGGGCCCTACCTGATTCTATCGTGGCTGTGCTGTGTGGAGCTGAGTGTGGCCGACCACAGGACCTGGTGGCCTCGGCCCGCAGCCTGTGGGCGCACACACGGCAGGCCATCAGGGTGGCTTTGTGCACTGGCCTGATCCTCACAGCCCCTCGCAACTGGACGACTACCCCCATTTCACCAGAGGCAAATGGAGGCTCTGAACGCAGTGAGCTGCGGAACATGGGAGGCCTGTGGGGAGGCGGCCTGGCCCGCAGGGTCCTCAGCTGAGCGACCACATCCAGGGACCACTGTCCACCACCCAGACAGTGGCTGTTGCTTAAACTCCTCTTTCTTAAAAATAAACCACAGGGACTTCCCTGGTGGCACAGTGGTTAAGAATCCTACCAATGCAGGGGACACGGGTTTGAGCCCTGGTCCAGGAAGATCCCACACGCTGCGGAGCAACTAAGCCTGTGCGCCACAACTACTGAGCCCGCACGCTTAGAGCCCGTGCTCCACAACAAGAGAAGCCACTGTGGTGAGATGCCTCCGCACCGCAACGAAGAGTAGCCCCCGCTCACTGCAACTAGAGAAAAGCCCGGGCATAGCAACGAAGACCCAACACAGCCAAATATAAATAAATAAATAAACAAACCACAGACAGCTTCCCCTGATCTTGTTTGCACGGCTGTCCACCCCGACCTGCTGCAGCCGAGAGCTGGAGACGGGACCAGGTGCGAAGCCTGAGAGGAGTCATAGAGGCCCAGCTCCAACTCCCATCTCCTCCAGAGCTCGCCTGGGCTGCGGCCACCTCCCGCGAGGGCCGGCCCTCGTGCTCCCGATGCCGCGAGGTGCAGGGCAAGGGCGTCTGCCCAAAGCACTGCTTCACCGCATGCTGGACCAAGCGGGCATGAGGCCAGGCGGTGGTGGGCAGGGCTCCAGCCACGCTGCTAAGCTTGTCTACGGGTCTCGTTCCCAAGGCTCAGTCTCCCTCCCTAAGACATGCGACGGGGACACAAGCGAACACCTGGTCCCGAGCCCTGGACGCCTGGCCAGCGCCGGCCCGGGGGCGCTGCAGTCTCGTGGTGTCTCTGAGCTGGACCTGTGGAGACAGGACGAGGCTCTCCTTGTGGGTGTCGGGACCCAGGCCAGGGCCGGTGCAGGGCCAGCAGGACCCCGAGCAGCCCAGACCAGAGAGCTGCCCGTCTGCTGTGCAGAGCTGCGCGTGTCCTCAGGGACACCGTGAGAACGGGGTGGTGACACCCGGTGGGGACACTGAGAGCTGAGGCTGTGCTCCGCCCCGTGGGGAAGCTCAGGACCACGCTGGCTCCCGACTCGGTGACCCAGGCCCGGCCCTCATGCCCTCCGCAGCCCCCGCTTGCGGCCCTTCCCACTGCTCCTGCTGTGCTTCCCAAACACGCCCACACGCTCAGGCCTGGAGCGCGGCCTCCTCCTCGTGCTTGGCCTGAGGAGGTTCACGGATGGGGCAGGATTCTGACTAACTGTCCCCTCCTCCGGGAAGCCTTCCTGGGCTTCCGACACACACGACACAGACCTCACAGTCACTTGTGCACTGCAGCAGACTTCTGCCGTCCCGCTTCCCCTCCAGCCTTCCTTAAACCATTCTCCAGGGGGTCGTTTAAAATCGCGAATCAAATGAAGTCAGCCTCTTACTCGAGACCTGCCTCTGGCGGACCCCCAGGCCCCGCTCCCCGAGCGGCCCCTGCCGCGTCTGCACGCCACCCCCTGCCCCCGCTTAGCTCGCTCACACCCTTCGGGGCGCTGGCGCACAGCGCAGGCACTCCGGGTTGCTCAGAGGCACCGGCCGAGGGCCACCTGACGCCAGTGGTGCAGTGCTGGGACAGGGGCAGGTCTGTCCGGAGGAGCCGTCCCTGCCCAGCAACATCCTCCCACCACCCTCGAGAACCAGCAGTGCTGCCCGGTGGGTCCCCAACTCGTCTCGTAGGGCTTCCAGCCCCCGGGGCTTACAGACGGAGAGAACCCTTTTGAAGGAGCAGTTGTGTGAACGTGGGGCCTTCCAACCTTGAGGCCGCCCAGGACTTTCTGGGAAGGCTCCCTGGGCGTCAGGATGGGGCCGTCCCTCTAGCCCATCTGGTTTCGAGGGTCAGGACCCTTGTCTCAGAAGCCAGCAGTGACGGCTCCATAAGACACTGCTCCCTTATTACGGCTCAGCTTGGACTCCTGAACCCGAGGCCCAAGTGTCCTTCCAGAAATTCAAGTAGGAGTCACAAGGCACTATGGCCAAACCCAGCCCAAAGGCAGGTTTCGTTTAGTTCAGACAGTTTAAGTTTTCAATCAGGAAATTTTCCATAAAAATTGAACCAGATGAAGTCTGATTCCTGGGCCTGCGTCCCATCGCATGGGAGCAGCAAGGCCCGAGCAGTGGTCCCTGTTTACCACGCTGCCCCCACTCCCTACCGCCTGCCACCGGCCTCTGACACCCCGGCTTGGCCCTGTGGGCCTTGCCTCCGAGGTGAGAGGCCCCAGTGCACCTGGGCCTGCGGGCGGGGCAGGGAAGGACACCCAGAGGGCTCCTCAGTCGCCGTTCTGGCCGGCTGTCCTGCAGAGCCAGCGGGAGGCCCGTACGCCACACTGAACGCCGCCCCGTCCACGGTCTGCGGGCCCCCAGACGCCCCCTGCTCCGGGAGCCGATAAGTGCGCGGCCCCAAAACCCCGGGCTCCCGACCCGGCTCGTCCCCAAGGGCTCCCGACCCGGCTCGTCCCCAACCTGGGCCGAAAGTCCCGCCGCTGCGCCACCTGGTGCTGGGCGTCCGGTTTACTGAAGATTCTTTCACAATTAGCACTCCCAAAAGGTTAAAAGTAATCCTGTAGGGGAGGGATGGCAGGAAAAGACCGAGTAGTGTCGGTGGAGGGCGGGGAGGGCGGGAGTGGGAGTGGGTGGGATGAAGGAATCTGACCATTTACATTTAATAAAAATCTTAAGAGCCACAAACAGGGAACAGACCTATTAAAAGGCAACACTGACCTACGGCAGGAATGTGAACTCGAGTTGCCCGAAGCAGCGTCACCACGGCCCCCTGCCCCACCCCAGAACCCAGGGCCCCAAACACGCCTCCTCCCACGTTCCTGCTCTGGGACACCCAACTCTGAGTCTGCCTCGGGCTAGAGCAAGGGGAGCAGGGCAAGGTCGGCATGATGCCGTCCACCCCGGGAGAGGACACGGACGCTGCCCTCCGTCCCTCTGTGTGGACCAGCAGGGCCCCGAGGCCTGGTGGGCGGGCGCCCGGGGTGGGCCTCTCCCCCCAGGCAGCTTGGCTCTCACCCCCCAGTGCCCAGAGGGTCCCACATGTGCAGGCTGGGGCCCTGGGGACTGAGGTCTGGACGCGGGCCTGCACGTGTTCCCTGGGGCCCAGTTTGGCTGAAGTGACGAGCAGGAGTGGCCAAGGGACAGTGGGGAGGACAGGATGGGAGCCTGAAGCCCGGTGTTGTGGCTGGACTCCCACGGGTACCCCTGCCTGCCCGGGGTCCCTCATCCGTGACGGGGCTCCCGCCTTGGTAGAGGCCTCAGGGCACAGTCCCACAGCCCGGGCCGCAGGAAGCGGGCCTCTGCTGACCGCCGCCCTCCCTCGCGAGGGGCAGAGGGGGTCTCACGAGGCAACTGCTGGGCCAGGCTCTCAGGAGAGGACCCTGTTTCCCAGCCGGGTAGGCACCACCCCACACGGAGAGTCCGCCGGAGAAGCCGTGCTCCGAGGCCCCAGGCCCACCAGATGCAGCCCGCCCGCAGCTTCCCACCCCCCTAGTCCCGCAGCTCCAAGCAGCACAGCCACGTGCAGGTCCGCTAACGGAAGCACCCCTCGGGCCCGTCCTCGCCTGCCCCAGGGCTCTGCAGGCCCTCCCTCCGTCCCCCGCCCCGTCCTCAGGGCCTCCGCGTCTCCCTCTCTGCGGGCCCCCCGCCCCCGGCGGCCAGGCCCTACTCAGCTGTCCCTCTTCCTGGGATCCCCCGGCTGCCCACGGCCCTCTCCTCGTGCTCAGCTCACGGTCCACACCTCCTACACGGGTTCGCTCTGCCCCTCCCCTGACCACGGCCACCACACCTGGCCAGCGGGACCTCAGGAAGCTGGGCTGCGAGGAGTGACAGGGGTGGAGCTGAGGACACCTGGGTGCTCTGTCCCAGCAGCAGACACGCACTTCGGCCCCGCTGTAGACAAGTCCCACCTCAAACCCAGTGGGAGGCAGGAAAGGAGGTGGCAACGCACGTCCTGGGCAACCCTCTGGCTCCGGGGCCGCGTGCCAGCCCTGGTGGTCTCCCTCACCTACCGTGCCCCTCAGAACCGCCTGTTTGAGCAGCACTGTCCCGTCCATGCACAGGTCACGGGGTGGTGCAGTGGGCGGTTGGACCAGATGCCGGGTCCACACCAGGCTCCTCCAGGACACACACTGGCTTTCCAGCCACAGGTGGCGGGACCAGAAGCCATGATGCCATGCAGGCTGAGCCCGCAATGCTGGCATGGGCGGGCCTAGACCCTGAGCCGAGGGCCAGTGTTTGGGTGCCGTCTCCACCTTCCCGGCACAGCTCCCGTGAGCAGAAAAAAATGACCACACTCACCAGGGATGTGGACCTTGAACTTGCCACTCTGGCCGAAGGCGCTGGCAATGACCCCCAGCTCCCCGGTGGACAGGTGCACCTTGAGCCCCACGAAGAGCTGGATGTTGGTCTCCTTCTTGAACAGGGAGCGGCCGATCACACTGTAGTCGTCCATCACCTGTGCCCACACCCAGCCCCGGAGAGAGCGTTAGTGCCTGGGAAAGGCTGGGCTGCCACACTGCCCAGGTGGTCCGCCTGTGTCACGGGTGATGCCCGGGCCCTCTTGCCACTCCCCGCCACCACAGACACCTGCTGGGCCTGGGCCGCACCAGGCCGGCTGTGGGCACTTGGTTGGCTGGACGCGCTCGGCTCGTCCACGTGGCACTTTCCCACCTGACAGATGGGAGGAGGAGGCACTGCCCGTCCACGGCCACAGAGCCCACAGGCAGAGGTGACGAGAGTCCGCAGCTGCCCGCCTCTGCATGGCTGCCCGCCCACCTGTCCCCAAGCTGGCAGCGCTCCTCAGGAAAGCCTTCACGGCACTGCAGGCTGAGGGGACGGCGCCCACCCTCTCTCCAGCATCCCCCGCACCGAGGCGGCTCTAAGAACCCGGCCTCTGCCGTCCTCCCCGCCACACGCACGTGTGTCCCAGCCTAGGGCCCCCCTCCCTGGCCTGGCCCACGTCCATCCCGCAGACCGCGGCCCCACCTCTGCAGTGCCCCCACGGCTCTCCCTGCTGGAGCCCCGTTTCCCTTGGCTCGCGGCTGTCCATGTGGAGGCCCAGGCTGAGTGGAGGCACACGTGTGTGTGAGGAAGTTGGCCTGGGGCAGCCCTGGCTTCGCCCCGAGCTGTGTTCCTCTGGAACCTTCTCCCAAGGGCTTGAGCTTGGGGCAGGCGATGTGTGAGTCCCGCCAGCCCTGGCCTCCGGCGGCTCAGGCCTCCCTGGACCTGCCAGGCTCCTCTCCAGGGCCTGTGCCAGGAAGGTGCCAGGCCTCTGTGCAGAGAGAAGGGAAGGGGGCGTGTGTGCACACGCATGTGTAAAGACCAGCTCTACCAGGCCTCAGAATGCCGGGTCCCACTAGGGGGCCATGGGAGAGACTGGGGAGGCTTCCTCCTGCCCTCCCGGCCCCGTGCGCCGGCCTGGGGCAGCTGCATGGAGTCCGACCAGGCAGCAGCTCGGGCAGCCGCGTGGAGGCCGGACGTACTGCCAGTGGTGGGACCTGCTCCTGGGGGCCCCCGGGGGCCAGGCTCAGAAACATCTTGCTTCTGCCCAAGATGCCACGATCTGGCCAAGGGCCAAATGGATGGATTGTTTTGAAAAGCAGAAACTGTCCCATTTACCCTGAAAACCTTTTGGAAAAACATATCCTATCCTGTTTGATTCATAGTGCTAGATGAAAGGTACGTGCATTCCTCCTCTCCCCAGTGATGGATGAATCAGATACAGGCAATGATAAGAATCATCATTCCCACTTGCACAGCCCTTTGTAATTCAGTCTCGTCCCCACACGAGACCTCCTCCTTGTCCTCCAGACTCACAGGGCTCCCCTCGTGGCCGGACCCGGCTCGGCCCTCCGCGCCGCACCGTCTGCGGGCGTCCCCGCTGCCGCTGCTGGGCATCCAGCAAGGCTGCAGGGTGAACTGAACGGAGGCAGCTCCTCCGACCTCAGCACAGGGGAGTCGAGGCGAGCAGACGTCACCAGCCCCAAATGGTGAAGGGTGGCCCCATCGCTTTCGCAGGACTCCCATCTGTACCCCCCACCAGGACGGCCTGCACGTGGAACTCTGTCCCAGCCTCGTCAGGAGCCCAGCCTGGTCCAGCAGGTGCCAGGACTTTGGCTGAACCGACCCAATGGTTCTGAACCAGCCATTCCACGTTCCCCACAGCCAGAGGCTGGTCCCGAGGTCAGCCTGGCCGCTGAGACTGCCTGTCGCTGGGAGGAGAGCCCTCGGAGACCCCCGACCCCCAGCCCCTCGGAGACCCCAGCCTGTGCGGACTGAGGCACCAGTGGGTCACACTGAGCCCTCGCAGAGCCCTTGTCTGCAAGGGATTTCCACGGCCACTTTGCAGAGGTCAGAGCTGAGCTCAGGGATGAGATCTGAGCGGGTCGCGAATGCCAGAGCCAGGGGCACAGTGGAAACTCAAACCCCAGCCGGCCAGGCCTTCGCAATATCCCCGTAGGAGCGTTCCGGACTGGCGGGAGTGGCAGGTGCACATTTCTGCACCCCCAGAACACACCCCTCCAGTAGTTACAGGGGGTGGGGCCGTGAGAGGGGCTCAGCGAACGGCTGCTGCGGGAGCCCTCATTTCATGACGCTGGTCAGAGGGGAGGCCTCTGCAGTGCTGCAGGAAGACCAGAGGCGGCATCTGTCCTGGGCTGCGGGAAATGGTGAAGCTCAGCCCCTCCGTCTCTGGAACGTGCGTGCCCCTGAGGGTTGAGCTCCTCTCCAGATGACGCTTCCAGCCGAGGCAGGGACCTCAGAGATCAGACACACCAGCACATCCAACAAGGGAAGACCTTCTGAGACTAGCCGGAGGCTTTTCCTTCTGAACCCACCGCCGTGACGAGGAGCCAAAGGCAACACGCGTGGAACCTGCGGGCGGCAGCTCCCCGGGAGCGACGCTGAGCCGCCACACAGTTACAGCCATAAGCTCCCAGGGAAACATGCACCGTCTGCGTGAGCTATCCGCTTCGTCTCTTGGCCTTTGGTGGTTGGAGGCCGAGCTCCCCAAGAGCAGTCACTGCCGCTCACAGAGCCCGGGCCCTCACCTCCACACCAGGCGAGTCCCCTCTGTCCCCGGCCTCTGAGCGGGGACTTGGCTGGCGGCGCACGTAATTATGTCATTACACGTGTGTGTCTCTCTCAGGGCCGGCTGCCGTGATGAGGCTTGGGAATTGCCCAAGTTCTGGAGCGACTATTCTAATTCAGATTGGAGAAGTGGCAGCAAGGAGACAGGGGCGGCTGGCTGTGAAGCGGAGCCCTGAGCAGAGAGGGCTGGCAAGGCTGGGGCCCTGATCCATCTCCTCCAACTCTGCAATCTGGGGCATGGGGCTTCTCTGAACCTCAGTTCCTTCCTCTGGAAAAGGCTGTTGCTAGGATGAAGGGTGTTGGTGCTGGCAAGAACACCTGAGACCTGGTAGCAGGACAACTGCCCAGAGGCCAGAACCTCGATGACCAGAATATGAAGCTGGGAGAATGACAGAAGCAGTACCTGCGGCGGGGGCTCCTCTAGCCCACCCAGAACCTCGAGAGCGAGTTAGCCAACCCTCGGAGGACAGGAGCCGGGGGAGACCTGTGCCGCGAATGGGCCCTTGGAGTCACCGGGAACGACAACTCCCAGGTCCCTGGACGACGATGCCCGGCCTCATCCATCCTTTTTGGCCTCAGAAACCAGTGGCCAAGACTGCATCTTTCCCGCCCCCCAGCGCAGGGCGAGGCGTGTCTGATGCCCAAGTACACTGGGGGGCAACGATCAACCCCTTGTAATCTCCTGGGGCAAACCCAGGAACGGACATTAGCCTTCAAGTTGTTTCATTTCTTCAAGCGAGTTCCAGAGGCCCAGGCGGGGAGGCCTCGGGCGGCCAGGCTCTGGGCGTCACCCGAGGGGGACTGTGCCACGCCCGCTCCCAGGCCGACCAGGCCGTCTTCCTCAAAACTGGGCCTGCCCAGCACCGAACGGGCACCCGGCCTGGCAGTGACGAGCCTGGCGGCCCACGACCCCGACGCACGGAGCCTCCCTCCCTCTTTCTGTTCCCGTCACCAGGCACCAACGCAGGCAGAGTCTCTGCCGGTGCTGACGAGGAGGTACAAAGGCACCGTCCCCAGAGGCAGCTGCGTTCTCCTGGAGAGAAAGGGAGGCTAACTCTTTGCTGGGCGCTCACTGCATGCCAGGCTCACGCTTCACGCCAGGCCCTCACACGCGTGGTCGCGTCAGCTCCCCACCAACTCCGTTAAAGAAGCGACGGGTTCCGGGGGTGGGGGAGGGGTGTGACTGGTCCGCGGCCGGGCCGAGGCAGCAGCCCCTGCTCAGTACATCAGATCCAGAGCCAGCTTTTTCCACCGTGTCCAGCTGCCTTGACCCTGCATCTATACAGCAACAAAAAAGGCAATTTTCAAAGGGGGGCCAATAAGCATTTCGGCAGCTGAGGGAGAGTCTTGGCTATCAGACGCTGTTTAGAAGGCAGGAGAGAGGCCTGGGTTTGGGCCAGCACACGTGGGCAGCCATCGGATTTCCCCAGGGGAGGGCCCGCTCGGCCTCTGCTGCAGGAAGAAGCTCTGTTCCTTGAGCAGCCTGGGAGTGGAGTGGGGGGCAAGGGGCAGCAGAGCTGGCCGAGCGGCTGGCTGGACCGCAGCATTGCTTCCTCCAGGAGTTGGGGGGCCTAGCCTGCCGGATGGCGAGGAACCCGCGCTGACCAGAGGCAGTCGCAGGCTGGCCCGCACCTGGTGCCCCGGGCACGTCTAACAAGCCATCAGCAGTGGAGCGGGGAGAGCTGGGAGCCGGCAGGCAGTGCCGCTTCAGACTTCAAAGCCGGCCAGCGCTCCTGGTGGCGTCTGCGTGTTTACCCTTGGTTGGGCAGAGGCCACAGGCTCCTCTGGCCATGCCCTCAGGCCTTTCCTGTCCGGCGCCAGTGGATGCCAGGCCCAGGGTGGCCGGCACGCCCGGCCTGACCCCACCACGGGGGAGAGAAAGGTGCAGCCACCTGGTAGCCCGGGCCGCCGCGCCGCGAGGGAAGTCCAAGTGAACAGCACCGAGCCCGGCGCTCTGCGCTGGTACTTCACACACAGTGGCCTCCCCTCCTTCTACCGCCCTGAGAGGTGGGGAGCACGGCCCCCATTTTTCCAGCAAGGAAACTGAGGGGAAGAGACTCACCCAACGCCTGGCCTGCAGGGGCCCGTCCAGCGGGCCTGGAGCCCGTGCACACTGGGTCCCTGTGGCCTCGGCGGGAGACCTGCCATGCCCAGTCCTCTGCTCGCCCCCGCCTGGGTCCCCTGGCAGCCCCCGCCCAGCCCGCCGGCCTGCCTGTGCCCACCATGCCTTGGCCACCATGCACGTGAGGGTGCAGTGCTGCCTTCACCCCGGTAGCCTGGGGGGGCGCATGAGTGGGAGTTGGTGCGACACCTTTGTTTTCTAGTGATGTGGGTGGGACTACGCAAGCTGCCGTGGCCGGGGGCGGGTGGGGCTGCTGGGCCCGGGCTGTGGCAGCAGTCGGAGGCGTGGGGCGGTGCATCCCAGGTATGAGACCTCATTTGCCCACCTCCATCCATGTGACTGAATGATTGATTTTTGTTTGTGTTGGGTCTTCGTTGCTGAGCTTTCTCTAGTTGCGGCGAGCGGGGGCTACTCTTTGTTGCGGTGCGTGGGCTTCTCATTGTCGTGGCTTCTCTTGTTGCGGAGCACGGGCTCTAGGCACGCGGGCTTCAGTAGTTGCGGCTCGCGGGCTCAGTAGTTGCGGCACGCGGGTTCAGTAGTCGTGGCTCGCGGGCTTAGTCGCTCTGCGGCGTGTGGGATCTTCCCAGACCAGGGCTCGGACCCGTGTCCCCTGCACTGGCAGGCGGATTCTTAACCACTGCGCCACCAGGGAAGTCCCACGTCCATGTGATTTTTACAAATGAGGAAACAGAGGCCCACAGAGTGAGCAACTTAGCGGAGGGCAGCCGTGTGCACCAGCTCCAGGGTGTGCATGAGGCAACACAGGAGCCCTGGCTCCGCTGGCTGGGCCGCAGGGCTATGCCCAAGCCCACGGGGCTGAGGATCCTGCATCTGGACCTGCGAGTGGGTAAGGAAGGGCGTCTCCTCATCTCCCCCTGGGGCTGCAGAGGAAGGGGCGCAGGGCCTGAGCAGCCAGGGAGGATCCTGAGAAGGGAGGGGTGGGGTGGGAGGGGAACACCCGGGGGCCCAGGGGAGGGGCGAGGCCAGAGGGCGTGAGCGATGGAAAACCCGGCACACCCACCGTGAGGCCCTGGACACCTCCTCCTGTCACCCGGCGCCCGCACTGACTCAGGGCTGGACCAGGAGGGGTGGCCCTCCTCTGCTGCACGAGGATCAGAACCGCAGGGCCTGCTGGGAGGCTCCGGGCAGACCCCGCACGAACCTGAGCTCCCCGACACTGGGGTCTCAGCACTGCTGCCCTGAGTCAGCGGAGCCCGGTCGGGTCCCAGGACCACCCACTGCCGTGCCTGACCCCCACGAGCACGCGCCACAGGGACACAGTGAGGCCTGCGTGTTCGTCCACCCATTCACCTGTGGCCCGGTAGGCATGGGCTCCCATGCAGGGCTGCAGGCACAGATGAGGGGGTCGGGGGGCGCCCAAGGAACCACCTGCACTGACCAGGCGGGCCAGGCGGGCTCATGGGCCCCGCCTGCGTGTCAGCCTGGCTCTAACTGGTGGAGAGGACGCAGGCCACTCCCGCCTGGCTCCCTGTCTGGAGACCACAGGCGCCGGAGCCAGGTCTCCAAGGCCTTCCTGGCTGTCAGACCAGGCAGGGCGGTGGGCAGGAGGGAGGGGGAAGGCTGCTTACCCGCTCCACGATGCCGTGCTTGTGCTTCAGCTTGTACACTCGCAGCCTGGGCAGGGCGCTCTCGGCGTAGTTCTTATCTTCCAGCCCGTGCAGCAGGATGCCATGGAAGGCCAGCCGGCATGTGTTGGCGTGGATGTCCGTGTCCAGCCTGGAGCCAATCACCAGGCACAGCCGCGGGCAGGTGACGGGCTTCTCGAATTCCACGAGGGCCCACTGCTGCCGGGGGCAGCGGCCTTCGGAGGCCTGGCCCACCCTCCTGTCGGCCTCACCACCGTCCGTCTCGGCTGGCACTGAGCCCGGGCACAGGTACTGCTCCTGGAAGAGGTACTCCTGGGAGAAGTCGAAGGAGTCCAGCACGGGCTCATGGTCGAAGCCGTCGGGGGCAGGGCTGAAGAACATCACCCGGCCCATGACCGTCTCGTGGCCCACGGTGATGTGGAACTTGGCCTTGGTCTGCAGGGATCCCCGGAAATACGGGATCTTCTCCACGGACACGACGGCTGCATGCACCGTGTGCAGAGACTCGGGGGCGCACACCAGGCCACGCTCCAGCAGCTTGGGGTCGAACTGGGTGACACAGATGCCCAGCCGGTCCCCCTGCACAGCAGAGGTGACGGGTGTGTGGAACATCTGCATGGACTTCACCTTCCTCACCACCTGGTCGGGAGTAAGAGAGGGAGCGCTGAGGCCGAGCCTCAAGGCTGGGGGGCTCCAGCTGGAGAAGCCCCCGTCCCGGCGCCACCAACACTCACCGGCACCCGGTCACATGCCCCTTGCACGGAGCAGGGCTCCACCCTGCAAACGCGGCGCCAGGCTCACAGGGCACCCAGGCCGGGATGCAGTCAGCGGTTACTGCAGCCCATCCAGCACCACCGGGGGTCCCCTCTCCTGCTCCACCCCCAGGCCCCACCCCACGCTTTCTTCACCAGCCCTCTGTTTAGGTTTGCTTCCCTGCCAGCCCCACGCCTGCCAAGCCATGCCCGGCTGCCTGGAAAGCCCAGGACAAACACCCCTGCTCTGGAAAGTCTGCCCAGACCCCCGTGGGCAGGACTTGCTGTCTCTCCTCAGTGCGGCCCCAGCCCCTCCTGGCCCACACCGCCTGCTGTGCTGTCACTGCCTGTTCTGGACCTGCCCGCTGCCAGCCGGCGGGCTTCTCCAGGGCAGAGTGGCTCTTCATTGACCAGACACACGGTCCCCTGGGGCTGCTGTGTGGCAGGCACTGTTCCGGGAGTGGGACAGAGCCAGCTACATTTTCAAAGAGCTTAGCGTCCAGAAACAGCAACAACATTACAAATATATTAACAAAACTTATATTAATATAAGTAAAACGGACACATAACATTTTTGTGTACAGATACATGTAAGTAATACCACCATAATCTGTATACTGTTTATGAGACGCTCCAGAGGAAACGACACATGGTGACGCTGGAGGCGGCCCGGGGGTGGGGAGAGTCGGGCTGTTTGCCGTCAGAGGTCAGGGAGATCTCTGCGGAGCCCATGTCTGAGTCGAGACCCCATCGTAACAACCAGCTGTGCGGAGGCCAGAGAAAGTCCACTCTAAATGGGGGGACCCGCAGGTGCAAAGGCGGGGGTGGGGGGAGGCCCTGCAGTCGGGGGAGCAGGCCGGACGTCACCAGGAGCGATGGCAAAGGAGCGCCTGCCCGATCTGTTTCCAAACCATCACACCGACCAACACACCAGCACATTTCTGCACCCACGGTTGCTAAATCAGGAACAGACACAGAAAAGGCCCCAACAAACGTTCACAAAATGAACAAACGTCTACACCAAGATCCACGTCGCAGTGATAAGATCAAATCTGTGCTGGGACCTCTGGTTAGCGCAGCAGAGAAACGTGAAATCGATTTCCGAAAACCTGCCATCAAAAATCATCACACCAAAGACAGCTCTGACCTTCAGGTCGCGAGCACCCCGTCTACGAAGTCGGGTGTGCGGAACCCCCGTTTTCTCCCCATAAAGGGGGTGCTGTGCTGACATGAGCCGCAGGAGCCCAGTCCTTTCCTGGAGAGCCTGATACTTACGTGTTTGTTTAAAGACCATTAACGACCTAACCAGGAGGTCAGGGGGCAGAGAAAGTGAGAAGCACAGTGTCAAAAGCCACAGCCAAGATCAATCAAAGAGAAACATAAAACATCTCTGAAATGGTCTGTAAGGGCAACGGGAAACTAAGGTTTTCAGGAATGCACCTCAGAGTAACCGGAGAATATTATCTTACACTAAGCGTCTGCCCAGCGAGGCAGGACCCAGTCATGCCTCCTCCCCGCCGAGCCGGGAGCTGTCCCCTGGCCCTCAACCCCGGAGCCCCTCCAGGCCAGCTCCCTAACACGTCTGATGAAGTAATTCCTCGGCACCAGCCTCTACAAGGGTTCCCATCTCCTACAGCATGACTTTCAAACCTTGTGGGTGGAACTGTCGTGATGAGGAAGCCCCTTTGACCAACTGAAATTCCACAGGGGATCAGTGCCCCCACCCAGGGCATCCCCTCTGCTGCACCACCAGGACTCCTGCTGGCCTGGCTCCCCCACGAGCGCGAGCGGCCTTCCCTGGAACCTCCCGCCCCACGGCCCACTGGACAGCTCTTCTCAACGCTTAAGCCCCGGCCCGGAGGCTTGACATTTTCCCCCCGCAGACACGCCTCTGAGCTTTGCCCCTGAGGCTCCTCTCCCTGGCACTACCTCCACCTGGCAAATTGCCACCCATCCCTAAACCCCAGCTCCCAAGGCACCTCCTCCCTGCCCACTCTGGACAGAGCTGGTTGCTCTCCTCGGCTGACTGTGAACCTGACTTTCTCTGTGGTCACTGCTGGCTGACAGCTCTGTCAGCCCCTGCCTCCGTGCATTTACTGACTTAAATTACAATACAAACCAAAACATTACCAGCAACGTCTGTCTCGCCACGTGCTCCTCCCCCAGCCAGTTCTCCTGCCTGCCCCCCAGCCGGAGGGAACTGCTCTCTTGAATTTGGCGTGTAACATGTCTTTTCTTTTTATTGATACGTGTCTATAATTGTGTAGAGATTTACCACATATGTAGTACATGTGTCTAATCGATAACTTGCTTTGTTTTGTGAGATTCTGAACTTGGAGTTGGTGCCCGTGCTGCCTGCACCTGCAGCTTACCTGTCGTGACACCGTGCATCTCACGGTGCACACAGGCCCCTGTCTGGTCTCCCATCCACGAGCCCCTGGGTCGTCTCCAGTTTTCTGCTGGGTGTGGTGTGGCGGGCCCCGTCCTATGCAGGAGTCCTGAGGGTGCAGGTGTGGGGACAAGGCTGCAGGACCCAGGCCTGGACGAGAGCTGCTGGGCCACAGGAGAGTGAGCGCGTGCCTCCGCCAGGTAAACTGAGCACCAGCGCACGTCCGCCCAGCGGATGCGTCCGCCCAGCGGATACACGTCTTCTCCACCGTTCGGCACTGTCTGACTTCTCCATTTCTGTCCATCAAATGTGTCTGTCTCTCCTCCTAGACCCTGAAGACAGGGCCAGGCTCCACTTGCTGCTGCACCCCCAGCGCCTGGCACGGAGGGCTGCTGACAGAGCCGGCCCATGGCAGCCCCTCAGGAGGGAGAAGAGACGCGCCCCTCATGGTGAGAGCACAGCTGGCAGAGCACGAGCTCGGAGTCCAGACCCGCAGGGGCCTGAGCGGGGCCCGCGTGTTCACGAGCCTCCCCTGAGGGTGGCCAGGGCCTCGTGCCACCTGATGGTCCCCCCGGCCCCCCAGGCCCAGGGTCAAGCAGGCGCTATTCAAAGCATGTTCTCTTCCCCACGGAGCTCATGTTCTTAGGACTGAAGTAATACAGATGCCCTAAGAGGGCGCCGTGAAGAGCAGCAAGACAAATAACTGTGCAAATCAAGATTTTAGGGCCCAGACAGGAAACTGGGAAACAGATCGACGGGGACGGGCAGCGGGGCACCACGCCATCGGCCGCCAAGCTGCCCCGGATCCACGTCAGGAACACAAGATCCCACTGAGGACACTAACGAGGAGATGTGGGTAGTTTTACCAGCTTAAGGGCAGGAAATACAGTCTTTCCTGTCATTTTCTAGGCAACTTCGAGAGACACTCCTGCTCAACTCCCTCACCAAATCCTCACTAAGACCCACGTGGAGGGGCCGAGGCGCCATCCACACGCCCACTCACCACGTGTCACCCAGTTTCCCTCAAGCTCCGGCCCAGGCCCTGGAATGGCCCAGGGGCGGCGGACACAGTTTTGATCTTACGGAACTGACCGCTTGCAGGTGAGGGGATGTTAATTAAACCATCAGCTAATAAAGGCAGAATCCTAAGACCATGGGGAGGTGCTGTGAGGGGGACTAACTGGGGACCTAATGACTCCTGGGTGGTCAGGGAGGGCTTCCCTGAGGAGGTGGCACTGAAGCTGAGACCAGATAGAGGAGAAGGGACCACCCACAGGGGCTCCAGGCAGAGGAAGAGCGGAGCGGGCCCGAGGCCCCAAGGCGGGCAGGAAAAGAGGTGGCCAGGGGAGTGGGGCCAGGAGGACAACAGACATCCCGGCGGTGGTGGCCCGGGGCTGAGCAGAGGGAGGACGCACTCCAGTGGCCACTTTGCAGGGTCACTTGGCTGCGTGGCGCGGGGGCGGGGGGGCAGGGAACAGGAAAGGAAGGCGGGAAGCCAGCAAGGAGGATACTCGGGTTCTTTCAGCAGCAGCAGCAGAATGGGCGGCGGAGCCCGGGGTAACGGGCACGTCCAGCGTCCAGCCTGAGGGCAGCCGAGAGCTCAGAGGGCAGGAGGCGTCGGGAGACACACACGTCAGAAAGACACGCGCTAAGTTCCTCCTGGACTGCCCTGCAGCCCCGTCCTCCGCGGAAGTGCCACTTCCGTGTTTCCTGATCCTGCGTGACCCTCGTCGCCGTGCCCGTCATGAGGAGACCCAGGAGGCTCTACCTCCCACACAGGCCCAGCACTCGGGCCCCTCCGCTGCGCCCACCGCCCCCCCACCGCCAGCCCCCCCTGACTGTGAGGGTCGTCGTGCCCTGCACCCTCCCTGCCTTCCAGCTCGCTCTGTAAAAGCTCACGTCCGCACTCTGACTGGGCCTCACAGTCGGCCCCTGCTGTTGGCATGGTTTTATTTGCTACGACTGCTCCGCCCCCACCCACGTCATGTCAGTCACATGACCCTTCCTGCTCCCCAGACACGCCAGGCTCCTACCCCACGGCCTTTGCACTTGCCAGGGCCTCTGACCAGGATGCTCTTCCCCCAGAGAGCCACAATTCTCATTCCCTCATTTCCTTCCTGTCTCTGCTCAAATGTTTATCCATCCTTGACCCCCCCACCACCCTGCAACCCAGTAAGAGACAGGACCACCGGCCCCATTCCTCTGTCTTCTTTTGCTTGTTCCCCTTCATTCACAGTGCTCTCCACCCCCGACATATTGCGCATCTGCTCACTGACTCTCTCTCCTGTATGGGCTGTGGCCTCCACGAGGCAGGGGCTTTGCTTGTATTTTGTTTTTCCCATTCACGTCTCTAGTGCCCAGCACAGCGCCTGGCAGAGAGGAGACCTCACCACACATGTGTGCTGTAAACACCGTCCCTGCCCCAGGGGGCTCCAGTCCTGGCCTGGCCCTACCCGTCCTCAAAGGCCCGTGGAGCTCCACGCCTGCCTGCGGGGCAA